CAATGCTTAGCACTTTCCAGAAAGGGAACTCCATGAAGATCTTTCCATTTGGACACCCCAGAATTAATGGCAACTTTGGAGAATTCGGCTTTAACTTTTTGGTAATGACACATCACAGCAGCACGACAAAGCACCCTAGTCCAGGGCCTGGCACACACACTGTTCTAGTAGCCCACTTCTCTACCTAGGCTGCTGTAGAGCTGATAGTATTAGCCCAGGCAAAATGCTTCTGCTATGCTATTTTTCAGGATCCATGCTAGCCTGTTTAAAGACAGCCAGTTAGAGAGCATTGTATCCACACCTAAACCATCCTGAGCTGACTGACAGGAGGCTGAGAGGAACAGTGAACTGCTGTGGGTACTCTGGATGATTAATAAGACTGTCTTTATCCTCCTGCTGCCCTTCGTGCACAGCAACTGCAAAGTCAGGTTCTGTTATTTACACTGCTTTAAACCCACAATAACAGCGCTACCTCCAAATGTTTTGGATTGACTGTGCTATAAATGAAGACACTCATGCATGGATTCAGAGCTTGGATGTTACACAGCACATTAACCTCCAATAAATTCAGTGAAACTGTACCACATTATACTAGGGGAGTGCTTGCCTCAATAGCTCAGATCCGAACCGAAGGCAGGGACTGCGGGGTCCACAAGCAATTTCTGCCTGCACGTTTGTGTCTCTTTCTCTCGGTTTGTCTCAATAATGTTTCAGATGATTCATGACCCCGCGCTCCCTTCTCCCAAAATCACCATAATTGCAGAAAAACTGTGCCTCGTGCACATGGGAACGGGTGGGAATCAGAATGCATGGATCTTTGTAAGTAATCTCCATCAAGCCAACATGCACCATGTAATTTTATGACTCTTCAGGGTTGCTGTAGAGTCTATGCATTTCCTCCCCTCCTCTTCCTCCAGTTTAGCCATGATTTTCATGTGGTTTTAATATATATTTTCTGTATTTTCTCATCCAGCTTTTTGTTTCCAAAACTTCTGGTCAGCTGCAGTACAGACTGAGAGCCAAACAAATTGCTGGGTTCTTCCATGCTTCCTTCCAGAAAGCAGCTTTAAAGTTAAAACTGGTGTTAGATGCTTAAATACCAACACCTCATTTATATGCCAGCCACACCCCTATATTTAAAAAAGCTACAGTATAAAAATGAGTAAGATGGTGTATATATTTTAAGCGGGCAATTAACACAGACCAGCTTCTCATTCCCTTCCCCCTCAGACCACACTGTATGGATGCATAAGGGAGGCAAAGACTCATGTTTACCTCATAAAACTGTAAGGAGATGTGATGTACGAGGATGTGGGAAATGCTTTGAGTCTCAGAGTCTCAGCTGCACCAGGGAGATACTTCCACTCATACCACACTTCCACTCTGCATTTTATCCCCTGGACTGCCCCAGCTAAGATCCAGCCCAAGGCTCGGGGCAGGCTGATTGCAGCCACCACTTCAGCTATGCCAGAGTTAATCTTTCATGCAGATCCTGTTCAGGTGCAAAGCATGGCCCAAACACAACTCGCTTAGCCTGCCAATTTTAAGTGTCTATGGGAGACACTTGCTCAGTGTGGTGCTGCGAAGCAAAACTGTCCCAGCACAGACAAGCCTTCCAACTATTGTATTAATTATGCCTTCACTATACATCCAAAACACTTTAACTAGCTCCATTTCCAAGCCAATCTAACAACGTGCCTGCAAAATCCTCCTTAAGACGGTTTTGGAGACTTATTATCTATTTGGCTTACATCTATACTAAAAATCTATTTTGTTTACATCGATATTAAACCTAAACCTTATGTTGGCCTCCCACCTGGCACAATTTCACCCTTGGGCACCTAAATAGCCTCTTGCACACACAGTTACTACTACGATTGCTCGGACTCCTTCAGGTTATGCTGTGTTCCGGAAAGAGGAGGAACGGAAAGACAACAGCAAAATGCCCACTAATACCAATGAGGCCAGGATCTGGCATCTGCTGTTTTGGCAGATATGCTCCACCCAGGAAAAGTGGGGTCGTCCTGCTATAGATGTCTTTGTATTTGCCATCATTCTTCTAATGTGTACAGTGTCGGGGATGTCAGCTTAGCAGAATTATCCTTCTTTGTTTTCTGTTGTTGAATAAACATCCTTGAAACCTTTTGAAAGGTTAGCACCTGCCTCCCATGCTTTTGCAATGTCCCCCCCAGATATCAAGGGAAATTTTGCCTGTGCTGGTATCAGGCACAGCAAAGACCTAATTATTGTTCTGATCCACTAAGAAACAATTGCATCTACTGTAAACTGAGTGGTAAATTCCAGACTTCATCCCAGAATACTTCTGAGACCAATAAACTTGGATATACTTGGAAAGAGCATTTCTTTATGGGTGCATGCCAAGGAGATACTGGGTTCCAGATAAATCTCCAGAGTAAGTCTATTGACTTCAGTCCATTTACTCCAGGGATGAAGCTGGCTCGGTGTCTTTCCTGAAGAACCGCTGGATAATAATGATTCCTATTTAATTAAAAAGCATGCCAAAAGGATTTTCAGGGTTTAGAATTGCGCTTGTCACTCAGAAACAAATTTATACTTGGTAAGAAAAAAGTTTGCTGTGTTTTTTTCTTTTTCCCCGGACACATGCACAATTATCTCTGAAACGTCCCTGGGCTTGAATCCACAGCAGTGTCTCTGGGTCTGCGGTTTGATTATTAGAGGTTATTGCTTGCCTGCCTTTCTTGTCTGTTGTGCAAGCCAGTTCCTCTGCCCTTAATTCACTCTGGGCTTCTGACAACACCGCATTCCTTAATGTGCCATTACCAAACTAGTAAATAAGCACTGCTCTGCTCTCTTTCTCCCTACCCTAAGCCAAACAGGCTGGGTACTCCTCTATGGATTTATCTTTAATTTTACAGAATCTTTGGGTAAGCAACACACAGCAACAATACAGTATCTTAGCTGCTGATCTACTGCCAAACATACCCGACTGCCATCCCAGAGGGATGGAAGAGATTTCATATAGGGTCTTGAATTAGAATCTTCCCAGTAAGTAGAGGGATGTGTTTGACTTACATTTGGAAAATATCAGTGATATAGTCCCCACTTGAAGATCTTGCTAAGAGGGAATGTGGGAGGTAAAGAAGGAGAGAGGGTGAGGAAATGCTTTTATCTACGACAAACTTTTTAAGTACAGAATTTAAATCTGGAAAATATTAAGCTTATAAAGCTTCATGTGGACAAGAGACTCCCTATCTCTGCTGCACCGACTTGCTTATCTGGACCGTATTTCTCACACTTCAAGAACGCTGTTATATGACCACTATCCTCACATCATTCCACTGCAGCAGACCCATACCACCCTCTCAATGCAGAGCTCCATATTCCCTTTACTTCATAACCTGCTGCTTTTATTCATGCCTTTTTCCTAGCAGCTTCACCTTTCTCCTCTAACAGAACCTTAAAATGGCAGCATCACTTAGAGTCTTGTCTTGTATCACCTCAACTCTCCACCAAATCCCAGTGTAAACATCTGTACAGGGCACATCTCCACTGACTTCTATGCAGATGTGCCAACAAAGAAGTTGACCCAACTTCTTTGGCAACAAGCCATCTAGTTTAGACAAATAACTCTGAGCAACCTACCACACTGCTAATCCTTTGTCCATTTTTAGAACCGATTTTTTTAATTGTTCTGAAAAGTCCAAATAAATACTTTTTCCCTTCTGGTTTTAATCTAAGGACAGAGATGCCAAACTACTGTGAAAAGAAGCATTTTACCCTTAGCATTTCCAGCCAGAAACAGAAATAGACAACTAAGATTTTTCCTGCAAGATTTCCATCCTTGTTCCGCATAAAGAAATACATCTCACCAAAGACTCATCCCGAAATGTGACTGCTCCTGCAGTTTGTGGCTCCAAAGCTCTCGGCACCAGATCGTAGGTTTGGTACAACATGGTGCAAATTTACAATGCTGGGCAAGTGATTTAAAATCAGGAATAATGATAGTGACCCAGAAACTGGGGCCAGTTTGGGCAGTCGTAAAAGAAGCATCTGAAACATTACACACAGCCAGTCACCAAGACCAGACTCCAATTCTGCTGACATTTGTACATCCCTAATTCCTGTTCTATATTTGCAGCACAAACATATCCAAAGCAACAGCAGAACTTCGCTGTATTGTATGTTCCACAGTAATCAGCCTTTGCCCTGATCTCCATTGGAAAAGGCAGCCCTAGGGGATGATCAGCAGAGATGCACAAGGGTATGACAGGTCCTTGCAGACAAATAGCGGGGTCACGAGACAAGCTTTTCTGTCCCACAAGTTCTGTGATTTCCTTCTTGCCTCCTTTGACCTCTTCCTTCTCTCCCGTTTTCTCCTGATTTCTGTCTGCCTTTTTTAATTATTAACTCTGTGACTGTGCTTTTTAACTCTGCAGAACATTTTGTGAAAAAGCATGGAGGAAAGATAATGCTCAGTGAAGCATAGTCATACTTCTACTGAAACTGTCATTTGGATATTTCAAAGTGCTTTTCAGATGTGGTAAACCAGGAAAAAGGTTAATCTTGAAAAAATTTGCACACTTAAGAAATGTCTTTTCCTTGTACCTGGGACAGAACAAGGACTCCAACCTGGGTTCAGCATGCCTGCCCTTCTACAGGAGCCCTCCAGCACTGAGATACTGACACAGGGGTTAGAAAATCCAGAAGTGTCATTCCTTCCTAAAAAGGCAACTAATACATTTCTGCAAACCATTTCCCTTTTGTGACCGATAAATAAGACTAAAAGGCTCCTGACAAGGTCTGTATGTTAGCAATATTGCTATTTCATAGGTATAATCCAAACATCAGGCAGATGAAATAGAAGCACAAAACAGTGCCAGCAATGGAGGAAATGCCATCTTGTTCAATGACCAATCCTCTGCTCTTTGTTACTGGAAAACTTCGCCTCCTTCCCACTCCTTTCTTACATTCAGGCAACACTGACTTGCTGTTTTGTGCTAACGATTTCTGTCACTTACCACTGTGCAGCAAAGAGGCCAGAACCACCAGAGAAGAACCAATGCCAGCAGGAGGAAGAGGATCAACAAAGCGATAGCCAGGATGGTCCCATCTGACTGGAAGAGAAACACAGAGAGCGTGTGAGCACCACTAACACAAGACTCCCCTCTCCACGGTACCTCACCTATGCATCCTGCTTCCAGGCAAGTACATGTCCCAAAGGCCATTGCCATACTCCATTTATTTTTCAGACAAAATGCAGTTTCCCTCCCTCCTCTTAAGTCCAAATGTGGCACCCACCCCCCCACCTCATTGCAAAGAGGCTGAGACCTCTAGTTCCCTTCTCAGAGAGTTATAGGTTTTGTCTTGATTTTCTGAACCTCACAATTACATAAAACACTTGTTTCACTTCAGATCAAAATTCATGTACTATTCCTCAGAGTATTGGGAAGACTGAAAACAATAATTTAAAAAGAGCTCACAACACAATGTTTCATTGCAGTTTAAGCATTCTCCTTTCCTTGCAACTCTTTTGGCCTCTTGCAGCGTGAACTTGAAAGCGATGTTAGAATTAAAGTTTAGTCCAAACAGAAAACTTGAAGCGAGATCTCTATGGGTCCATGACTCAGGTCATCCTGCTCTTCTTAGCAGTGCCAAGTCAGGGTAGTTCTATCATGAGCTTTTCAAGGAGATTTGAACATACACACCATCGCAACATTATACAGGGTTTTTCCACATCAGAAGCCATTAACTCTAGAAGATCCTTTTCCTCTCTAACTGGGATAATTACCCCATTTAAAAAGGCATTTGCAATTCTCTGATATCAATTAACAATGCACTGCTGCACAAGCCAGCTCAATATAGCAGTCAAAACTGAATGTGCATTATTCCTTGTTGCTTAGATTTAACGCAAACCAGATGTTCTTGGCTTCCCGAGGCATGCCAGCTTCCCTATACCACTCCTCCCCAATATCATCCTATTCCGAGATAAGCAAGCAGGCAGTCCTGACTTAAGCCTGTTTGAGATGTTCTTGATGGAAGAGCCAGACATTTAAAAAACCCCACCCAAGCGTCAAGATCACAACGCCAGATTAAGGACACGTTCAAGAGCAGACTGACCTGTAGGATGGGAAAACTGGGTGCCTGCTTAAGTCACTGTAATTCAATGGCCAGATGATCTCCCATCATACCATAATGGGAAGAGTAATGGAAAAAACAACCAGGTTGAGAGCATTTTCCAAACTCTGTTCTGGTGTAGAAGGAATTTCTGGAGAGCTTGGATCAAGACAACCTGATCTTTGACACTTGGAAACAGAAGAGAGGTAGTCCACACAGGAGAAGAATTCACCCAAGACATGTCTGGAAATGGAACTTGGACCCCAACACAAAATAAAAGCTCATTTGAGAAGATGGAGCTGTACATTTGGTGCTGTTCCTCTAGACAGACAGCATAAAGTCACATCCATCATCTGCAAAATGGAACCTGCAGATATTCAACACTTTAGAAAATGTGATCCTGACTCTCTGCTGCCACGAAATTGTACAAGAAATAAGGCTTTTTATGTCTAATTGTTGTCCGCCTCTTTTGCCCCTATATTGAAACAAATATTTTGTCATTAAAAGTACTCTAAAATCAATTTGTAATAACACAAAGCAAATTAAAGTGGCCTTTTAACTGTTTTGTTCCAGGTATTTTTTTCTTTTTTTTTTTTTTTAAACAGAATTTTTTTTTTTTTTTTTTACTTTTTTTTCCCCCCAAAAAACAACCTGTAAAGACCAATTTACATTACCCTAACACATCTGTTTCTCTGCAAGGCAGCTGATGTGGCCAGCTGGTATTCTGTGTATCACAGCCGCAAAACAGTCCGGAGGACTTGAAAGGTTTTGATTTGCCAAATCTTACGTTTCTCACTCAGGTAATGCCTCTCGCTAAAGCCAGTGTTGCCTGGCAAGTCTGCAGGAGTATCTTCCGATATCAAAAACAGAACACCACCCCCACCCCCCAAAAAAAATTCCGGTTGGATTAATTCCTTTTCTTATATCTGAACAAACATCAACATATACCAGACAAATATGAACTGAATTTTCTGGGCTCAGCCATAGCTACAAAGTGTCAAACTGAGACCCTTAATCAGGAACTGCAAATCCTATTTTCGTCTGCTCTGACTGTGCTGTCACTGCTGTAAACTAGACTTTGAGGAAACCCTAGCAAGTCAGACCAGGACAAAGCATATATACACAATAAATCCTGCTATAATCATCCAAAGTGGCCTGAATTCCGCTTTTGGTTTGTTTTATCTTCATTTCATCAGTTTCTGCTAGAATTTAGCTATCATTCTGTGTAATATCTACGGCTTTTATACAGCTAGGACTATGCTTAGATAGAAACTGCCACTTATCCAAGCTGAATAATAAACAAGAAGGAAAATACGCCTGCTAAAATAGTTTGCAAAAGTTCCACTGACATTTTGAAATCTTTCTCCCAGTCTTATAGCTGGTTAAAAAGGGCTGAAGTATTTGAAATGTCTGTTTTCATTCCATTACTTTTTTTAATCAAAATTTGGAAGAACAATACAAATGCTCATGGAAACACTGAACCATGGAATATTTCAATGAGCTGTGTCTAACACGTATTGAATAAAGGCTGTCAATTCAGACCAAGAAAACAACGTTCATTTTAAAGACAAAAAAGAGAATTTTAACACTGATCGAGTGAATTTTCCATTAAAAAAAAAAAAATGCATGGAGACAAACCGTGGCTAGCCCCTAAATACACATGGTTATCTGAAATCAGTACGATTTTCCCATAGGGATTCATTTTGACTACTTATACCGAGATAAAACTGTGGTACCCATAGCGAGATCAACAGCCTAAAACTCCATTACACCTGAATGGCTGAGAAAAGCCAGACGACTAAGGTATCTGTCAGGACGCTAAGTGTAAAACATTGGCAACTTGATTCTTGACCACTGTTGAAGACCTAGACTATGCCTGAAGTCATTGTTTTGAAATGCCTTGCTATTGTATCAAGAAACAGTAATATGAAAAAGAGCAGGCTCTTTAAATGACCCTTCAACATGCTACACATTTGACATATTAAAACTCTACCGTGTAGACTTTGAAACAAATAAGCTGGTAGAGAAAGCAAGGCAGCTGTGCCTTGAAGCCTCCTTTTCCCTGCCAGAGTCCAACCAGGCCAAGAAAATGCTACAAGTATTGCTGGCAGTTGAAGTACAATGGAAAACAACCTCTGGAAGATACTGTGAAATACAAAGGTACCAAGAAATCTGAAGCAGGACATATTAGAGGCATTTCCTTATACATGGGGGGCGGGGGTGTGTGTGTGTGTGTGTGTG